TGTACCACAACAAAATGCATGTAGAAGGAATCCTTTCAGTCACTGTAGACCCTCTGTAATAAACCAAGTTTGGGGGGGGGGGTTCAGACCCTGGCGCAGCACTAGAAACACTACAGTCTGTGAGGCTGACCTCCATGGGGAGGTTCTGTGTCTGCGTCCGAAGACCTTCCTGGGTATACTGGGGATGTGAGTGCCCATGCCCTGGGGCTTGCTAACAATAGGGGAGAATCGTGTCATCAATACCCTGTTGGAAATTCTCTCTCTCTCTCTCTCTCTCTCTCTCTCTCTCAAGGAATAAAACAATAAACTTTAGGGCCAGCAAATGGCATAGCGTTGACCTTGCCAGACTCCCACATGGCCAACTGTGGCTCAAGTCCTGAACCTGGTGGCTTCAAACTTACACCTGGCATTTGTGTGTGCATGCCCCAAATCCCAGGAGAATGAAGGAGGAGGGACTGTGGCATAGCCATCCCCCTGGGGGGTGATTTCTCACTTTCCTTCCTCCCTCTCTCTCTCTCTTTCTCTGTCCCCAGTGAGCACACAAACCCTAAGGCAAAAACCTCTCATAAAATAATAACAAACTTTAAAAAAAAAAAAAAAGAAACCAAATTTTGGTGGTTAGTTTTAATCAATTAGGGCAAATAGCGTACCCACTTTTAATTCCCTTTCCTAAGAAAATAAATTGCTTTTTAAAAGTCTTAAACAGAATATATCCTCATAAATTCCTCTGTCTGCCTGCAAACTTTGTCAGTTTTTCTTTCCAGGGGAAAAAGCCAGTTAGTGTCAGCTGATCAACAGAAAATGGCTAACAATTTGCTCTAGAGAGGCCTGGGCCAGTTTACCTGCTGCTGGCTGGGCCATAGGCTGGGCAGCCAGCCTGGTGCATCTGCAGTTGCAATGAGAGAGCACCTGACCAAGGCAAGAGGCTCAAGCCGGGTCCTCTGGTAAGTCACTTCAATCTTCTTAGCCTAAGACTACCCAGAGATTTGAGGTGACCAGATGCACATTATCCTGAGGTGATAGTGGCCAGGGGCCAGCACAAAACTGCTCTGAAGTCTCTTACTTCATCTTTAAATTGAAGCCTTTGGTCCACCATACAGTTTTTTTTTTTTTTTAAACTTAAGAATATTTAAAAATAATGGTCATTAATTTTAACTATCTCCTGAAAATGGGACTCAGGTTTAAACCTTGACTTCACACCCCCACTCTCCGGTGCTGGGCCCATCTATGAAACCATCAGGGCACAGCTGTGGAGTGGGCTGTGGTCCCAGCAACACCAGCACATGCACCAAAAAGGCCCTTCTTTTATTAATTTGTTTATTTATTTCTTTGTTGGTTTATTTTTGGACTTACTTTTTCTTTTTTAATTTTATGAGAGGGCACATGCACTCACTGGAGGGGAGGGTGAGAAACCACATCTACTCCTAATAAGGAGCAGTCACATGGCAATCCCTTCTCCTCCATCTCCCCCTCCTTTCAGGATTTTGGGCACACATGAGCCCTGAGTATTTCTCAAGCTTCCAGGTCCAAGACTCGAACCCTGCATTCGGCCACATGGGATCCAGTCACCTTAACCATGGCTAGCTGGGAAAGGCCCCGCCCTCCCATTTTTTTTAATCATTCTTTTAGTTAATAGGTCATCCCGATTCTGAGCCACACCAAAAGAAATAAAGGTGATGAAGGGGAGCAGCAATGTGAAAATAAGGGCTCCAGCACTGCTCAGGACAGGTTTAAGAGCATCAGTGGGCAGGCCTGTGGGCAGTCAAAGGCAGTGGCTTTCCCAAGTGCCCTGCCTGGTCCCCTGGCCCCCAGCAGGCAGAAGGCCCAGGGGTGTCCACACAGGGCACTTATCTATGCTCCAAGGCCCAGGTGCCAGGATATGGTTTCCTTCTCAGGACTACGAAGGCCCTCTCCAACCTCACTCCTTTTCTCTGTGGTAACAGCCTCCCCCTGATCCAAGACTTTCTTTTCACAACTTTTGTCTGTTCTGCACACAGTAGGTCCTCAATGCCTGTTTATTTAATATATGAATGCACTCCACACCAAGATGCATTAATTATCAGTGGGCAATCACATTACAAGCCACTTCAGAGACCCAAATAACCACCAAGAAAAATGAAATCCCTAATGTGACCACACCCCAACCGTGGCTGAAATGCAAGTCTAGACACCTGGGGGCAAAAGCTTTGGAAAAGAAATCGAGAGTGTGCCTGCCATGGGGACTGAAAGGAGATGCTACGTATGGTTCCCGTATTTATTTCTGCTCACTTGATATGCACCTCTCCCTTGTCAACCTGGTACAACATGTTTATTTAAGAGATAATGTTGCCGTGGAGGAGTGCACAAGGCAATAAACAGCTTTTGCAGGCAATTAAATGCAGAAGTGAAATTGAGCTGCTGGTCAGCGGAACCAGCCATTCATCGTGAGTTTGTTCCAGTGTCACAAATGTTATTCCTGTTTCACAACAGGACAGGAATCTATGATTGGGCCACAAATCTCTACAGGCTGGAGGCAGACCAAAAGCGATTACAGCAGCTCTTGGTGTGCAAGGTATTCACACAGAAGAGCCTCGGGATTCTGGAATGCTGATACAGGAGAATGCTTTCTTTCTTTCTTTTCTTTTTTTTAAGAGGTTTTGAATGTAATAGGCGCCTAGTAATGATTTATTTGAGTCTTGCAGATTTGAGGATTTTGTAGAAGACTTGGGAAAAGGCTAAACTCTAAATAAAAAGTCTACAGGAGCCAGCAGGTGGCATACTGGTTAAGGTGCTGGATTCCCACATGGCCAACCATGGTTCTAGTTCCAAATCTGGGACTCGAGCTTATTTTCTCATTTCTCATTTTCTCTCTCCCTTCTCTGGGAAGTACATGTGTCCTGTAGAAAATTTAAAAATAGTAATAAATAAAATCTTTTAAGAAGTCTATGGGTTCTTTTTGCAAATAATCCAGTACTCTTCCTACTCATTCTTAAGAATTCTAACTTAAACCTCTTATGCTGTTGGTGGAAATGTAAATTAGTACAACCTCTGTGGAAAACAATATGGAAGTTCCTCAAAAACCTACAAATAGAACTACCATATGACCCAGTAATCTTACTTCTTGGTATCTACCAAAAGGGTAGAAAAACACTTGTTAGAAACACATTTGCAGAAAACATGGAAATAACCTAAGTGTCCAAAAACTGATGAGTGGGTTGAAAAACTGTGGTATACATATACTATGGACTGTTACTCAGCTATAAGAAACCTTATCATTTGATGTGAAGTGGATGAATATAGACAACTTAATGAGTGAAATGAGCCAGACTTTGAGAGAGACGCACTGTATATCCCCACTTAGTACTGTATATCTGCACTCTAAGGCAGAAAAGGAAAGATACAAAGGTATGATAGTAGAGAGGAGAAGTGTAGATACCAGAGACTGTAAGGGAGGGGAGTGGGTGGTAGAGGATGATCATGAGGCATAAAAGGAAGAAACATTTAACAGACTAAAAAAAAAAAGTCTAGCTTAAAAACTTATGATGACCTCCACTAGACTCCATTAGAGTCAGCCTTTCCTGGGAACCATAAAGGAGTTGTTGGTGGGAAAACATTCACACTGCTCCCCCGACACACACTGATACTCAAAGTGGCTAGGGAAGAGGGACAAACTTCTCAAAGGAGGCTTCTGTCCTGTGAAGTTAGAAGAGTCAGCTCTCAGCAACTGAGTCAAGAAAGCAGATGGAGGAGAGGAGACCTGGCTCAGCTTTGGGCCCTTAAAAGCATACCATATTGTTGTCTGAATCAATAGACCTGCTCATCAAGAGCTGTGGGGATGGGCAAATCCCCTCTCTCTGGACCTAGGTTTTCTCTGCAGCAAGATGGGGTACACTAGAACACTAAGATCCTTTTACCTCTGGTCATCACTGTACTTATTTTCCTGTCATTTTTCAAAATAATGGATAATGTGTCTATGTCAGTGCATTCATATATGTGTGTGTATTTAGGTCTTCCGTGAGAGAAACATGGGTCTTCACGCTGCAATCTGCCTCCAATCTCAGCCAGCCTAGATCACGGGCACACGTGCCCATGTGTTTAGGAAGGCTTAGGACACGAACCAGAGACCCTTCCATGTGGGTCTAGTTGCCTTATCACTGCACCACCATCTGCCCCTGCCCTTCTTATATTTTTAATGAAAGAGTTTATTTTTAATAGAAATACACATACACACACACACACACAAATACACACACACACACACACACACACACACACACACACACTTTCTTTTTTTTTAGTTTGCCACAGGGCAATCTGCATTGTTTTTGGTGCCTCGCATCTGCTAATACACTGCATGATAGAAACATTACAACCGATCAAGCAGAGCAGTTCTACTTTAATGCTCCTGCTCTGATCAGCCAAGATGTTTCATTTTAGTCCTAAAGTTCTTGCCTGCACACTATTCTAAAAATACTCAGAGGATCAAAGACTGATCTCCATCCCCAGCTAAAAATGCACTCAAGTTATAGCCTAGCACAGCAATAACCTAATTCCTTTCCTTAGTTCACCTCATGCAAACACGCAGATTAAAACACTCTTCTTTCTCAGGGTACAGAGTCATCACGAATGACTGCCACTCAGAAGGCTGTACCCGCGTCCTCTGAGCCCCTCAACAAGAGCAGTGCACAAGGCAGGAGGAGCGAGGGCCTCATGTAGTAAGCAACTTGCGACTCTCGCCAACTTGTTCTAAGATGCAGTGAGAACATGAAAAAAGTAAAATATGAGAAAGAAAATAAACACATTCATTTATGTCGTAAAAATAATTCTTTGTAGTCAACCTCTAGGGTTAAATGGCATTAATGGCAGAGTAAAAAGGTCTTTGACAGGTTTTGCATTCTCTGCCTGCATATGCATGTTAGACTGGGCACGTGCACATGTGCATATGTGAACACACGTCTCTCTCTCTCTGTGTTCGTGTATGCGGTTTTCACATATTCAGTTCACACTGTGTAATGCCATACCTGCCACTGGTTTCCTGTCTGACCAGGCACATAAGGTGCTGGGAGGCTCCGAAGGCTGTTCTTCACGGGGGATCCCCCGAGAGGACTTCCCACCTCCCCGGAAGAGGAATCAGCAGCCAATGCCATGGAGTACTGCGGGTAGTTGTACAGATTGTTGTAGTAAGGAAACAGAGACGGCTGGTAGAAGCTGCTGTAATAGGTGGAGTCAGAAACTAGCTCAGGTGTGTTCTCCACGTGCCCTCTGCTGGTGACAGCAGGAATGGATGACCATACGTCCCTCTAAAAAGGAAAAACAGAAAAAGACAACATGGGATTAATGTGGGGGTCCACAAACCTTTACTTCTAAATCGTGGTGATACAGGCCTTCCTTCTTAAGACATGCAGAGCAAGGTCCTTGAATCTTCAGGGGCCAAAGTGTCTGAAGCTTCTCCTGTAGGCAAAATACAGAAGGACGTCTAAGCCTGGCTTCACTATGGTGGCATGGTTCAAAGACTCCTGCTGATTATTTTCACTGAGAATACCAAACCTATTTTAGAGGTCATTTTAATGACATAAGGCCTGCAACGTAACTTTCACCCAGCAATCCCTATCCTGATGTCAAGAACACGGAGATCAAATCCAATTAATCTGTTTACACATTTTTACAATAAAATTAATTGTATTGTGGGCTAGCCCTGTGACCTAGTGGTTATGGAAACCAAATACCACATAGCCAACCACATGGTTTGAATCCCAGCCCAAGCACCTTAAAAAAACAAACAAACAAAAAACACTAGGCACATGTAATGTATGCCCCAAATCCTGAAAGGATGGCAGAATGGAGGAGAGGGGACTGTGCTACGACTACATCTCATTGTGGGTGCTTACCCGCCACCCCTCGCCAACACATGTGCTCTCTGGAAAAAAATTTTAAAGTGATAATCGTACTTCTTGGCATAGCAGTTAAGGCCCTGGACTCCCACATGGCCAACCACAGTTCGAGTCCAGGACCCAGTGGCTTGAAACATACCAGGCATGTGCGCATGCATGACCAAAATCCTGAACAGAAAATGGAGAAGGGATTGCGGCGTGGTCATCTCCCCTGAGGGGTAACTTCTCACTCTCTGTCTTGCTAGTGAGTGCACGTGCCCTAATAGCAAAAATCTCTCTCGGAAAAAAAAAAATGTACTTCTCTTTAAATAAAGTATACACATTTCCCAGTACCATAACTATGACAGCCACATAGACATGCCAGCAGGTCAAAGTGAAAGGTTAAGAGTTTAAGCACACACAGTTTCCTTAATTTCCTACCCCGGCCAATACTGTACCCTCCAACAACCTGGACAATGGCAGTGGACCAGGGCAGACATACTTTTCTAACAAGTCAGTTGGGTTTTAGGTGGACCACTCAGTCACTGTTGCAACATGGCTGTGTCACAGTAAAACTTTATTCACAAAAAGCAGCAATAGAGCAATTTGGCTGAAGGTTGTTGTTTGCCAAGCTCTGGCCTTGACCTTAAACTGTTTGTCGAGTCCAATAAACAACTGAATAAACTTCTATGTCATCTATCAATTGACGTTTATTTTTAAATATTCTAAGGGAGCCAGACCCCATATGACCAACCTCAATTCAAATCCTGACCTTGGCAGCTTGAAAAACATGCTGGGCACATGGGCATGCATGTCCAAAATCCTGATAAGAAGGAGAAATGGAGGAAAACGATTGTGGCAGATTGTGGTGTGACCATGCCCCATAAGGAGTGCTCCCCTGCCTTCACCCCATCTCTTTCTGGCACAAGCAACTTCTGGCCATTAAAAAATAAAATGTTCCAGGGGCCAGCAGGTGGCATAGTCCTTAAGGTGCTGCTGGACACCCACATGGTTAACCACAGTTCAAGTCTCAGCAGCTTGAAACACACTGGGCATGTGTGCACGCGTGCCCAAAATCCCAAGAGGAGAATGGAAGAGAGGGGACTGTGGTGTAGCCCTCCCCCCGAGGGGTGATTCTTGCTTTCTGTCTCTCTGGGAAGCACACACACCTTATAGCAAAAAATCTCTTAAACAAACAAACAAACAACTCTATGATATAATCCATCCTGAAAGGGTCGCAAGGTAACAGGCTGTGCTACCCTCCAACTCTGCATAGTGTAGGGAGAAAAGTATGTTGGGATTACAAATGACGATGCTACCCGTTATCATAAAAGAATACCCATCACCTTCTACAGAAATCAGAAAAAAGAGATGACCTACAGCACAGAAAGGAATTAAGGGGCTTTCATGGAAAAACTGGATCTGAACTGGATATTAAAGATCAGCTGCAAGGGGTATGACGGTTAAGGTGCTGAACTCCCACGTGACCAACTGCAGTTTAAGTACCACACCCGGTGGCTGGAAATCACCCCCGGCACATGTTTGTGTGTGCCCCAAATCCCAGGAGAGTGGAGAAAGGACTGCAGGACGGCCATCCCCACTGGGGAAGGGAGTGATTTCTCACCTTCCCCCTCTCTCTCTCCAGTGAGGACATGCACCCTTTGGCAAAAACCTAAATAGGGCCTTCAGGGCCTTGTTAGTTTTTTTGCCAGTTTTGACATAATGGAAGGAACAGAAGCCAGACTGCAAGAGAGCAAGAAGCAAGCAAGTAACAAGGAGACAGAAGAGATGAATTCAGCGCATGGCCAAAAGGTTCTAAGACCCAGCAAGAAGGCACCCTGCCTCCCAGCTCACTGCTGTACACCTGTGCCTGGCAAACTACGAGAAGCAGCATGGTGAATATGTGCCATACAGATCAATGAATAATGGTTTTCCAAGTAGCTTGGCATCAAAATTAATGTGACTTTAAAACAGAAACTCTAGAGAGCTTTACAATCTTGTTATTTCATTCTGAAAGCACAGAGAAGGTTTATGTGTCCCTCGGCAGGAACAAAGGCTAGTGGAGAGAAACTCCGGGAACACATGGTCCAAAGAAGGCACTCAGAGACTGTACACTGGCTGGAAGTGAGGAAGGAGAAAGAGAAAGCGTGCAAGGGAGGGCGAAACTAAAAGTGGAAGGTGAGATTTATTCCTAACAAAATATGTTTCCAAAGCCTCATTTTAAAGTCAGCACTGGAGTCTCTTTTACTAAAAGGTACCAAATGCACCCAGCTTGGGCTTCCGCAAATGCACTGCCCAGGTACTTTTTTATTCCATTTCTTTGCTTTCTTCTCTTCCCAGTTTACAAAATGAACTAATCCCAACTCAGCACCTACAGCAGGTGCATGTCCACTCTCTCCTCCTAAACTTCTCCACTGGTCACATATAAAAAAAAAAGACTAATTTGGTGGCATAAACAGGTGGGTTTTGGCATCTAATTTGTTTCTTTATTGTTTATTTGATTAAAAAAGCAATACGAACTTCTCAAAAATGATCAATTATATTGACATCTAAATCAGAAAAAGAATAAGACAAGCCTACCACCCAGTCGTAAGCATTAGTGGTTCATTCCTATACAATTTCACCAACATTTAGGAAGGCTTTTATATTCAAACTCTTGTCCCTGAGTGGGAAAGAAAACAAATACCCTTTAGGATCTACCCTTTAAAACCAAAGTTCTTAATAAAGAAAACAAAATACAGGGCCAGCTGGTGGCATGGTGGTTAAGGCAGCTGGATCCCACATGTCTGACCACACAGTTCGAGTCCCAAACCCAGCAGCTTGAAAAACAATGCCAGGTGCGCGTGTGTATGCCCAAAATCCCCAAAGGAGAACAAAGAAGGGATTTCATCATGGTCATCAGTCCAGGGGGGTGAGGTGCTTTCTCGCTTT